ACCTCAATAATGGTATCAAAGCCAAAGGTCGGTTAGATGCAAGTATTTATATCCGTGACTCCTATGGTTTTATCAGTTTATCCATAATTGAATTGTTGGTAAGAGTAATTGATCTCCCATAATGATTTCGACCTATGGGATAATGGGAATGGGCTCCATAGTTGAGCATAGTTGATGATTCCAATGGCATAACCAAGGAAAAATTTTAGCTGTTGGGGACCAACAGCCTATGTTGTTGAGAGAATTTCTAGAAATGCCATCTTACTATGAGAATGGGTAAATTAGTAATTATATCTTAATTTATTTTTACTAAAAACCAAAACATGAGCGTGAATAAATGCACTGCTCAGAACTGTCCAACCCAGAAACTGTCTCAACAGCCTATGCTATTGAACCCCAACAGCCAAAATTAACCCCATAACCCACGCATAAATGATAATATTTGGTACTTAGCAGTTGAGCGATGGCTCTTTATGATTATGAGCAAAGGGCTCTTTATGGTTAAGCTGCGGTACAAAAAGATTCTTGGGTCACATAGGTTTCTTTGTTAGATGAGTCTATTATGGTTATGAACTTATGATCAAGATTTTTAAAACTGGACTGGACAGGGAACCGTTCTGCGGACTGGTTTCCAGGTTGAATAATCTGATCATTCAGTTCAAATGGATGACCCGTTTTAACTTAAAAAATAAAAATAAAAAACAATAAAAAACCATTGTCCAAATTGATAATTCAACAGTTCAATTACGCAAGTCAATGGATCATTAACCAAATCAACGATTTTTTGTCAAAAAGCAATTTTAGAGTAAAACGGAACTGATTATTGACCGGTTCCCGATTTCTCCGATTTTGAAAACCATGCGTCTATATATATCAATATCAAACCTGTCCCCATATAAAAAATATTGGTATTTCTAATTATGAACCAACCATGGCATGGTATGGTTCAAGAGCATAACTTGGCTCGGTTACCCGAGTTATATATTACCAATTATTCCCCAACACTTCTTGTTCACCCTTTCTTCATCAACCCACCAGTCCATCCTTTGAAATGATGATCAAACCAGAGTATTCCTTTTTCCAACTTCTACCGGTTTGAGAAATTAAGATAATGAAAGATGTGTAATAGATTCTCGGCCAATCAGAACCGGACTTGGGTACTCTTCCCAGCCCCATTAATTTCCCACCATTGGAGTGCTTTTCTTTAATTAGGTTGTGTTTATTTTCATTTTCAGAAGGGTGGAAAATGTATAGATTGGCCAAGAACTGATTTTTTAGGGGAAATTACTTATACCTCTCCTAGGTCTTGGTTAATTATCAAGTCCTCTCCTTAATTGGGTTTACCAATTGATTTATGCCTCAGGACCACGTACAAAAGTTAATGGAGTTTGTTAAGGAAGAGACAGAAATAATTAGTTTATGAAAATTTCAATAACAAATATCAGTTCTGCCTCTAAAATGTATATTTTGAAATTAACAAAAGTAACTTTACCTTCTCAAAATTATATATATTTTTACCTTTTTTTTATCTTTCTTGAACATATTTTCAACTATTCATTCCGCCTTAACATTGATTTCCCTTTTGATCAAGAAATATAAATTAGGGTTATTTTTTGGGCTCAACTGTGATAACGGCAAAACATGATATCCAAAAAATTCATGATAAGTCAACCAGTATTATAAATGTGGAATTTATCAAAACTCACAGATGGGTTTTAATTGGATAAAGCTTTTATAATACCATGTCTTTCCGGCATCATAAATTTTCTTTACATATAACATATAAATTAAAGTGTCTTAGAAGGATAGAATGGACATTAAAAACTTTTAAATGTCATTTAAACACTTAAAAAAGGAGGTGGTACGTAGTATTTGATCAAATTCCCAAGAAAGGTATGAGTAAATTTAACCTTGCTTTATTGAAAAATTTTACATGATACGCACCCTGTACCTTATTATGGTGTAAACTGTATAAGAGATGGACTGACTACTGAAATCAGTTAGTGGGTAGATTTATATAGGATAATCCTTGGTTTTTTTAGTGGATGATCTAATGGATAGATGCTTACAAGCTTACAAAGACAAACAGGAAAAAATGCTTAATTTTCTAGGGAATGAAGGTTGAACGCAACAAAACTACTTACATAGAATGTGTTTAGTATAGTTTTTGTTTATTAAATAAATATTTGTATTTGGTTTATTTTTAAAATTGAGAAAAATATTTGATAAATCATTTATGAACAATTAGGCACTACATTAACAGATTAGTGAATAAAACGCTCATTAATAAACGATTGGTGCACACATAAATCAAAATTCACTTTGTGAATATCAATGCATATGAATGAATATAATAGAAAAAGAAAAATTGCTGATTTAGCAATGACATGAAAACATTTTGATAAACACCTATCATAAAACACTATGAAACAAAACACAAGAATATTTTATTTAATTTAAGCATGTCTCACTCCTGATGAATCATCATTCGAGATCTCAAATGGAATTTTAAAACGTCCACTCTGTTGGAAGAAATACTTGTCTTAACCCAGCCAGCTATAAAAATATGCCCTGTTCAATACTATCTCTTATATATATACTATCTAATTGGGGTGCTCTCTCCGTACAGGAAATAGAATCTCACATGAGAGCACCCCAGTAATTACTGTTATAATAATTAACAATTATTACTGTTATTAATTACTATTGTCACTGTTATTATTGTTATTAATTACTGTTATTTTTTTTTATTATTATTATTCTAACAGTAATTATTGATTATTACAGTAATTTAATAAATCTACAATTAGTGATTATAATTAATAATTACTGTTATTATAAATATTATTAATAAATAGATATTTACTTTAATTTTACTTTAAATTAAAATTATAAATATTGTTATTAATAAATACTGTTAATAAATTTAGTAATTATTGTTATATTAAAAATAATTAAAAATGTTATTAAATGTATTGTTATTGATTATTTAATAAAATATTATAATTACTAACTATTACTAATAAATACTATTAATTTAATTTAATTTTGGTAATTATTAATTTAATGAATATTGTTAATAAATCCTATTCATAAATTTAATATTTATTGTTATGTTAAAAATAACTAAATAATATTATTAAAACTATCATTAATGATTATTTAATTAAATAATATAATTACTTACTATTATTAATAAATGTTGTTAATAACGTTCTAACAACCGACAGTCTGATCGTCCAGTTCGAACAGATGACCCATTCTGATAACAAAAATTACGAGCAAAAAATTATGGAACCGTTCTGGCCACCGATTTTCGGGTGGACGATTCAATCGTTCGAACGAATGGTCCATTCTGACAACAAAAATTATAAGTAAAAAATTGAGTTTGTGAGGTCCATTAAATAGTATCATACGTGTTATGTCATTCAAGCGTGTGGCTCATACAACCCGAAAACGGAACCATTTTGGCCACTAGTGACAGCCTGTTCTGACAACAAAAAATTATAAGCAAAAAATTACGGAACCATTAAGGCCACCGATTTTCGGGTCGACGGTTCGATCGTCCGGTTTGAACGGATGACCTATTCTGACAACAAAAATTACAAGCAAAAAACTGAGTACGTGAGGTCCATTAAGCAGTATCATAGTGTTATGTCATTCAAGCGTGTGACTCATACGACCCGAAAACGGAACTATTTTGGCCACTAGTTTTTGGGTTGATGGTTCGACCGTCTGGTTCAAACGGATGGCCCGTTCTGACAACAAAAATTTTAAAAATAAAAAAAAAACGGCCAAAAACCATTGAATGGGTCGATAGGTTAACGGTTCCACCACTTGGGTCAATGGGTCGTTGATCGATTCAACGGTTTTTGGTCAGGGATCGGGATTGGGGTAAAACGGAACTAGTTGCCTGGGCAATACCCAATTAAAAGAAAACGGACAACCTATTCTGACAAAAAAATTACAGGCAAAAAATTGAGTGTCTGAGGTCCATTAAGCAAGACCATACATGTTATGTCATTCGAGCGTGTGACTCATACAACCTGAAGACGGAACCATTCTGGCCACCAATTTTTTGGGTCAACGGTTCGACTGTTCGGTTCGAACAGATGGCCCGTTCTAACAACAAAAATTATAAAAATAAAAAAAAACGACCAAAAACCACTGAACGGGTCAACGGTTCGATCGTCTAGGTCAATGGATCATTGACCGATTCAACGATTTTTTGCTAGGGACAAAGATTAGGATAAAACAAAACCGATTTCTTAAATTGTTCCCAATTAAAAAATAAAAAAAAAACAGCTAAAAACCATTGAACGAGTCAACGGATTGATGATTCAACCGCTCAAATTAATAAATCATTAATCAATTCAATAATTTTTTAGAGTTCAACTATGATGAATTTACTTGTATCCGTTTTATGTAACATTTACAACTCAACCAATAATCATGTTAAAGTTTATTTGTTTCATATTGGCTCATGTTTCACAAAATGTACTTTGATGTATTTTGATCGATATAAGCAGTAAATTTATAGATTTTCCTTTAAAAGGAAAAGATTTAAATAATTTTTCCACTTATATCCCCATAAAGAATGAAGTATAAGATAGAAATCAAGTTCCTGATAATGACGCCAAAGTCCAAACAATTTAGAGTATGCAAAATCTATGGTACAGATTGAAACAAAAAACATGAACAAGTATTTAATGATAAATATGTGAATCAATGAAAATTAAATAGACGATAAAGGTGTTGCAAATATTCATTTATGCATTTTCATTGTCAGAGTGAAAGAATCTGTCTTTCTCTCACTCTCTATCTGTGATGCAACACACAACTGGAATCGGAAGTGTTGCGAGAACACTTGTATTGCATGCTGGGCTGTAAGTCTCCCGAGAAGACCATAAACAATAAAAAAACATACAACCCAGCCTTTTTCTATCCCTATTAATACCCCACAAATAACACGTTATTTTTTGCTCTCACTCCCGCTTCAATTGAACAATCGCACAAGACTCTTCAACACTCCACTAACCTTAGGTAACTGTTGCCCACCTTGCTCAAGTCCTCACAACCTCTAATATTCCTTTTTCCTTCTTCTCTCTCTCTCTCTCATATATGTATATCATTCATTCAAAGTTTTAAAACCGGAACAAGGTAGCTAGGCTAGATTGATTGAGTTGTATCATCACCTCACCACACTTGTATACTAGCGTTTAAAGTAACTATTAGAAGCTAGACGAGACGAGCGGCATCATCAGCCATGAGTTGCTTACAAGATTGGCCTGAGCCAGTTGTTAGAGTGCAATCTTTGTCCGAGAGCGGAATATCCGCAATTCCTGATCGATACATTAAACCACCATCGGAGAGGCCTTCCATAAAATCTGATCATCATCAGCTGGGAGCCGGCGAAGGAGGAGTTAACATCCCATTAATTGATCTGGGTAGCCTACTTGACAACCTTGACGACAAGACCACCTTGAATCGAATATGGGAGGCTTGTCGAGACTGGGGCTTCTTCCAAATTGTTAACCACGGAGTGAGCCCCGACCTGATGCATCGCACACAGGAGCTCTGGCGTGATTTCTTTCATCTACCGCTTGAGATGAAGCAAGTTTACTCCAACTCACCCAAGACCTACGAGGGGTATGGCAGCAGATTGGGGGTGGAGAAGGGCGCCTTTCTTGACTGGGGTGACTATTTCTTCCTCCACTACCTTCCCCCGGAGCTCTGCGACCAAAACAAGTGGCCTGCCTTCCCGGAGTCGTGCAGGTACTCAACCCGCCCACCAACAAATTAAAGCAATAGTTAATTAATTCATATATATATATATATATATATATATAATATAATATAATATAATATAATATATATATATATATATACCAGGAAATTAAAGGAAGGAACAAGCTACCTAGCTGCAATTTATACAAGACTATTACTAGCTAGCAGCTACTTCAATTCATTCCTTTTCTCCTTAATCCTTCTCTTGGCTTGCCTACTGCTCCTAGCTACTTTGGCCGGCCATTCAGTGGTGATAATTTCTGACGGTGATGGAGCTAGCTAGCTAGGCGGCCTAATTAAACACCTTCGATCAGGACCAAACCATTATATACAGAATATATATATATATATATAATATTCCATTGAATAATTCGGCCGGCCTCGATCTTTTGTACTCTTCTCTTCCCCAGATAATCATATATAATAATTGATTTGTTAAATGTAGGGAGGTGACCCAGGAATACGGCATCCAATTGGTAAGATTATGCAAGGTGTTGATGAAAATTCTGTCTGTGAACCTGGGACTGCAAGAGCAGTATCTCCAGAATACATTCGGAGGGGAGGACATCGGCGCGTGCATGAGGGTGAATTTCTATCCCAAGTGTCCACAGCCTGATCTCACTCTTGGTCTTTCCTCCCACTCTGACCCCGGAGGAATGACTATTCTCCTTGCCGACGACCGTGTCCCCGGTCTCCAAGTACGTAGAGGCGATGATTGGGTAACTGTGAAACCCGTCCCGCATGCCTTCATCGTCAACATCGGCGATCAGATTCAGGTCTTCTCTCTCCCTCTCCTTCTCTTTCTCTGTAGACTATACAGTTCATACAAATTGGTTGGACAGTATTCTTTGAAGCATAATCTCTGGAATTGTACGTACCTAATAACCAATAATTCATCCTCGGTCAAATACATATCTTAAAAGGTTTTGCTGTTTGGGACCTTATTGCGCTTGTTTCGCCTTATCAACACTCGGCCTGCAAGGGCAAATTTTAGCTCCTACCAGCTGGTTCTGGTTGGAGGACCTGCGTCCTACGAAATGTGAAAATCTCAAAATCCCAAAATCAAGAGGTGGTTATCGAACGCTTTCGTCCCACCATGGTAGCAGCGAATTAAGTAATGCCCCCTCCCTAACAATATATTAGTCTTAACTGTTAAACAGGACCATCAGTTTAGAGAGAGAGAGAGAGAGAGAGAGAGAGAGGGGTTTGCAGTTTGCATGAGATGAGAGAACTCAACAGTCCTAGCTCATAAATTCGTGGTTGGTACCCAATTACCAACTTTATCATTACTCACTTAAATTATAAAATATATAAAGGAGTTTCCTTGCTTTTCATGTTATGTATACTACGGCCCTACAATTTTCATGTTATGTATACTACGGCCCAACAGTCCTAGCTCATAAATGCGTCGCTTTTCATGTTATGTATACTACGGCCCTACAATTTTCCTTGCTTATATGAAAATTTATTTTTCTTTTGGATAAAGGCCACTACCTTTGTTTTGGGCTAGTTGGGCCAAGTGAAGTGGACCACCTTTTTTGAGAGAATTTTCTTTAATTCGATAATTGTTTTCCTTCTCTCAGTCTCATTTATTCCCATCATACATCATATATAGGAAATAGAATTAGGAATGGCAATTTTCCTTATTTTCCTGATTCTCATGGAAATCTGTCTCGAATGGGGTGGGGATAGGGAGAAGCTCCCCATTCCCGCCCCGCCCCGCCTCGTTGCCATTCCTAGATAAAACTTTAATCGGAAAGTCTTCTAGTGAAAACCTCGGCATCACATTATTTAGTATTATATATTATATATTATATATAATATTAGTGTAAAATCACGTTGTATGCATGTATGCAATTACTCATATACGATACAATAAAATATAGAAATTAACAAAATAGGCTAAACAAACTATATGTAGAGTAGAGGGTGAACATGTCAGCATTTCATATAGAATGAAACACTAGCTAGCGTATTCAGTATTCACTGTTGTTGATAAGTTGCCTAACCCACTTTATTTCTGCCCATCTGATCCTTACACAGAGATTTTCAAATTAAGATCAGTTGAGTCCGGATTAACTGAACTTAGGGGCTGGACTGTGAGAGTTTGTGGGGCATATATATATATATATAATTATGACTGACTTGGGTTGTTATTAATTTATTATTGGTTACACAGCATTATCTAATCCGAACTCAGAATCTCAGATCAAATGGGAGGGGGGTTGATCTGAAGAAGAAGAAGGCTGTAATTATATTCCAGCAATTAAACGTGAAATTTTGCAAGAATTTAATCACGTAAATATTTTCCTGTATATGTGGTTTTAATTAACTTGGTGATCTGATTATTGAATAGGTGCTGAGCAATGCAGAATACAAGAGCGTCGAACACAGGGTAATTGCGAATCCAGTCCAAGAGCGTCTCTCCTTTGCCTTCTTCTACAACCCCAAGAGCGATTTACTCATACAACCAGCAAAGGAACTCGTGACCTCAGATCGCCCTGCTCTGTATCCACCGATGACCTTTGATGAATACAGAATTTACATAAGGACGAAAGGTCCACGTGGCAAATCTCAAGTTGAGTCCTTAAAATCACCATCACCATGTTGATGATGATGATGATTACTACGCAAATACACAGCAGTACGTCCTAATGGCTAGCTAGTGCTATCACACATCATGGGTCACTTTTGTATTTGGAGCAGAATCTCTATCTTTTAAGGGAAATATCACATTGTCGATTGGTTACTTAGAAATTGAAATTTGTGTGTTGTCGGTTGGCTTACCCGTCTCTATTAGATGAGGATATATCATCAATAAGCCTTAAGCCAGCAAAAGCCATAGAATTTGGTCGTTACATCTACTACTGTAGCCGGCCCCCATTTCCTATAAAACTAAAAATTTTTGGTCTAGGCCATAATGCAGGCTATGAGTCGTACTTGACCCGCTAGTTCTGTTAAAACTTAAAAAATCAAATCAATATTTTGGCTCAAACCCATATAAGCATAAACATAGCTAAGTGCATGAATCACAATGCCGGGACCCTTTCCATATTTTTATATAAACAAGACAACAATCATGGATGCACACTGTCACGTTCATGTTGGGGTTGATTTCTTTTTCATACATTACCATTCAGTTTTTCGGGTCAACATTGCTAGGCTTCTCCTCCAAACAATCTCTTCATTTATTATATTGAATATAGAATCTCATATGAGATACTCAAAAAACCCTAATTCTGTCTTTGAATTTTCTTTGGTTGGTATCAATTATCAAACTATCAATAGAGATTAGGGATGGCAGTTTTTTCCATTTCTCCGATTCTCATAGGAATCAGTTCCGAATGAGACAGGGATGGGGATGATTTTCTCCAGTGGGAACGAGGATAGGAAAATTTTCATCTCCATTAACAAGGACAGGGAGAGCGTTCCCCGCCCCACGAGAACCCTGATTCCGGCCGTATAGGATCTCCACTAATATATATGTATATATGTATGCATACGTTATATATGTATATATGTACACATAATCTATATATTAATATTTTTAAAAATATGGTTGAATATGCTTGAATCTTTTCTAACAGTATTGTAAATTTTATTTATGTTATTTTTATTTTTTTAAAATAAAATAATTAACATTATAAAAACTCATAATGAATGGGGATTCTCGTGGGGATGAAAATCGCTGTATTTGGTATCCAATCCCACATTTAATTAAGGTTGGGACATTATGGAATAGATGACTCTTAGATTCTTCTTTGTCTTCTATCTGAAACCTGAGCTCAGCTTTGTTAGCACACCGTGAAATCAAACTCTTCACATTTTAAAATATCACCCCATGATTTACAGTTTTAGCCCAGTATTAAAATCAGATGTGTTAAAAGTGTATTGGACTCTTTGGCATGCCTTATAAAATAATATTTAATTCTTTGGCATAATCTATATTCTATAGTGCATTCGCTGAAACATAAAGCTTATCTCATATAGCCAAATTTGATAAATTACCTACTTGTGATGTGATGTAACCCGCTTGGTATATTTTATTAAGCAAATGATATAAACCACACACTTTAATTTTGTTAAAAGGAGTCTCTGTCTCTCTTCTTAAGTCTTTTATTGTGCAACACAGAACTCTTAAGGAAGTATGACAAGTTTCATTAACTACACGAACGTACCATTTGACAAAGTTATTTCAAGCCAGCACTTATATACCGATTGACTCGATGCAGGTCGAGACCTAAAGAATTTACAGGAAAAAAAAAAGGAAAATATTATATAAATAATAAAAAAAATAGAAAAATAAACAATAGATGGTATATGAGATAGATTAAAGAAAATGTCAAATACAGTATCAATTACACTGTTTTAGTTTTAGGCTTAGGGCTTTAGGCTCAGGGTGGATATATAGGACATCTAATGGGGTCTGGGGATCCCCATGACTTACCACCTGTCCCATTTTAGGACATCTATTTGAGCTACACAGCGGGAATAACCCATTCAGTTCCTTTGCAATTTGAACAAAATCCTCACAACCAATATTCGATGCTTGGTTATGCTGATTTTGGGCATTTAATTGTCTTGGTTGGGATAGATCCATCCATACAACAGTGGGACTCCTAGGGTGGATCCATCCATACAACAGTAGGATATTTTTAGGGCACCCCTAGGTTGGAGCTAAAATTTCTAGGGGTGGACTGAATCCGCCTGTAGATTGATATCAAATTTACGGATAAGATGCGATTTATAGGAAGGACTACTAATAGATTAGGAAAGTGCTGCAATTGAGGTGGATTGCAATCCACTTATTTTTTTTTGGGGGGGGGGGTCAAGGGCAATAGTATGACCCGTTTGGTAATTACAAAATACTCTCCAATACGTCACTTGTGTTGTATATCAGCTCTCAACCTCTCTCTCTCAGAGGGAGAACGTACGTCACTGATGACACAATCGTCCATTCACGCACGTTTTGTTTTACCATGTTTGTGGGTTTGTTAGCTCGTGGTGATGGAAACTCCTCCCTTCTCCCTTTTTTCTTTCTTTCATTCCAATCCAAAAAACCCAAAATTTCATGGCCCATAATGATTGTTTATCATCTACTTCCCCCAACTTCTCATTACTAGTCAACACCATTGTCTCGTCTCCTTTCCTTTGACCCATCAAGTTTTTCTATTCGGCAGTCATCTGCTACAAACAATGGAGTATGATTTGAGATCCAATAGCCTATAGGATCAGTTGAATCTGGATATATATTTCAATTTGAAATCAGCCTTCTTCTTCTCGGGGCGGGTCATTAGAAATTGCATTCGAATTTCGACCCATTTTTTACTAGTCTAGCTTCGACATGTAGCTAGAAAAGTTTTTTTTTTTAGTAAATAGTTACAAGAGAATATTAACCAACGACAAATGGGACCCACATATTTTGGCATGCTTGGCTCTCCATCTAGAAGTTGCCTGCATATTCCAAGTTTATATATGGAAATGTGCCTAAAACATGCTTTTATTTGTTTATTTATTTTGATAATGCGCATTTGAGTCAAAACCATATTAAATTCATGCTAACCCCCCAAAGTAGTTTCACTATTTGGTGCCAGTTTCTTGGTTTCCCATTTTTCAGCTAAAGTTGTTTTAATGTCAAATTAACATCCAAATAAATGCATATGATCCGTATGTCGGATTGTTGGACTGGTGAATATTATATGATTGTCATAGACGTAAATCTAATATATTTTTAAAATTGACTATATTTTCTACAGGGTAAATTAGTTAAATATACCATATTTGATGGTCCCACTTGATACAAAACGTTTAGGGTGTGACTTAAATGTGCATCATATATTTAATCATAAGGGTCCGTTCATTTTTTAGATTTGAAGAGAAGGAAAGTTAGTTAATAGAATTTTGGTTTTCATTAATCAAGTATTTGTATTTTTTTTTATATATTTATATGGGGTTTATGGGGTTATCACTTACCAAGTGACATCCATTTTCTAGGTGATTAAGTAAATTTTCCACCTGTCCAAATTTGGCTTCCTTGTTCATGAGTGTTCTTCGTTGTTACAGTAATGTGTAAACTTTTCGATGGCTTGTGTCAAAAGGCAAGTTAACACCGTAGCCCACAGTTTAGGTAGGGCTTCTTGTCGTTTTGTTAATCTTTAAATCTGATATGAGCCTCTAGTGTTTGTGGAGGACTTGCTTATTTGTGATATTTCTGATTGATTAATGCATTACAATTTGTTCTCAAAAAAAAAAGTAAATTTTCTACCTGAGAAAAAAGTTATCAACACTTGGTGTCCCCTTTTAATAATGATTATTTTAATTAAAATGGTCATTGTTTTATTTACATTTAATCAGATAAATAATAATTGTTTGATTAATTAATAATGATATTTTAATTACATTTATGCGGAAGGAAAGAAAATGGGGCGTGATTTTAGTTGTACCTTTAGAGAAGTGATAGGAAATTAAAAAAAAAAAAAAGAGTAAAGAGAGTGAGTACTCTTGGGTGGGTAGGGTCTATAAATGGGTTGGTATAAAAGTTGACAATTCTCTCCTCGGGTCTCGGCCGACACACACACATATAAGTACTTGACCATTCTTATTGCTCTACATGCCTCAACTTGTTGATTATTTGATGAAATTCAATCTCTCTCGTCTTTCTTTACTGTTTACTTTCTCTTTCTATAATATTGAAAGTTAATTTATCAATCCCAAATCCCAAATAGCTAGCGCCTGCTGCCACAAACAGTCCATCTTTATTATTATTATTATTATTATTATTATTATTATTATTATTATTATTATTATTATTATTATTATTATTATTATTATTATAAATAAAAATAGTTTTATTTTTAACAATTATTTTTATTTAATATGATGAATATTACATTAATAATGCTCTCAAATGTTTTCAACAAAATTTTGTATATTTTCATTTTTTGTCCTCTATCTTTTTTTAAATATTTATTATTCAATTATGACATCATGGGTTTCTTTGAAAAGTCGGATGATTGACCCATCATCTAGATAAGAAAATAGCTTGATTGTACAAGTGGTATAAGTGTGTAACAAAAAAAAAAAGTGATGTTTAATACCAATTTTTATCAAATTGGTATCATTACACCAATTTGATAAAAATTCACAAAACACTCTTGGCTATGAAATTTACACCAACTTAAGAGAATTTTATAACTTGATTGTACAAGTGGTTGGTCCTTTTAGTTCTTTTATACAGTCTCATTAATATTATATAAGTTTGTAAGAAAAATAAAAAGAAAAGAGCGAGAGAGGGAGCAGGAGAATGACCAAGGGAGAACAATAAGAGATTGAGGGAGAAGGAGATATTGATCGAGAGGAAGAGTGAGGGAAAAGAATGAGAGAGAGAGAGGGGGGGAAGAAATAAAGGTTTTGATTTGGCTACAAACCAAAGGCAAGAGAGTGGGAGAGACAAAGGAAGCGGTAGATCCAGACATGACTGTGAGAATGAGAGAGAATGGAGGAAAATCAAGAGATAGAGGGAGCATGAGAGAAACTTAAAACCTATTTTCGATATAGGCTTTTTGTTGTGTCCAACATGGATTAAGAGTCCCATGTTGGAAACAACCACATAAGACTCCGATGACATGGTGGGGGTTTTTATAATTTGAAATGTTTGAGTCAGTTGTTAGAATTTTGTTGGTTTTTGGGTCATCCTACAACCTAATTTTAAATGTACAATTAACTTTGACTTTAATTTTTCTTCAAACTATATATTTCATGTACATTATATAAGCAATTTTTACTTATTACTTAAATTTTTGTTTGTCTATGATATCATTTGACCCAAACCACTAACCACCTGTTGGGGTCATGGCTAAGCTAGCCCTGAAAGACACGTGGCCGCCCAGTCATCGCTCAGCCACGTTGGCATAACCTGGTCATGTCGGCATGCCTCGGCCACGTCGGCTTGGCTCAGCCGAGCTATGTTATTATCATGGCCCCCCTGTCTCATCCCTCCAGCCACGTTAGCTACACGCCCCACGAATAAGCTCAACTGCGGACAAGGAGGTGGGAAGACAACTCCGCCGAAGAGTAAGACTCTACCCCAGTAACCTCGACGGAGAGCTCCATCCCGATCTCCCCGGAAGCCTAATCCAACTAGGAGACGAAACCTTGGCTATAAAAAGGTGGTCCATGCTCAAGGTAAGGGATTCTAACTTCTAGCACCCATACTGTTACTTTGCTCGGACCAAAACCCCCATTGCTCGGCCCGACCATTCACCGCCCTCTCACTAACTTAAGCGTCGGAGTGTCTACCTGAGGACAACTCCTCGGGCCTCTGACTTCTCTTGACCGCAGGATACATAACGTGGCACCATCCTTGTAAGCTCGGCACCGCCTAGTCAGCAAGGATTATCTGGTTGCTCTCCTCAGTTCGTGCACCACCTCGGATTGAGCAACATCACCACCAACTAAAAAGAAAAATAGTTTGATTTCTAGGTAGACATTAAATTTTGTATTACATTTCCATCATTGATAAAATTATTTCTTATGCACCAAAAAATAGTTTTCTATAAATATATAACATCATATATACACCCAAATTTTTTCATGTTTTTTTTTATTTTTGTGATTCTTTGTATTTTCTATTTTTAAAAATTTTATGATTTGACTATGACATCATTTCATTAATAAAAATGCTTCTTACATTTCATACTTATTTATTGTATTATTTAATTATGGCATTATTTATTAATTCATTTGACTCCAAATGGTCGAATTGCTTGCCCACCAATGGCAGGGAAGAAAATGTTTTTGTTTACAAATTACTTTTCAAAATATTCATTTTTATGCTATTAAAATTAATATTGTGGATTTAATTACAAGACTTTAATGATGAGAAAAATATATCTTAAATATACGATTTAATGAGAGAAGATAGAAAAATATTTTTATTTCTAATTAGTTTTAAATATTACATTCCATTTCCGTCATTAATAAAAACATTTCTTATTTATCATACTTATTATTGTTTAATATGTATAGTAAAAATGTCCCCTTTTTTTAATTTCTATTTTTGAATTTTATTATTTAATCATGGCAACATGGATTGACCCATTTGACCCAAAATGGTTTAATTTCTTACCACCACCTAGATGAAAACACTATTTTTTCTAGGTAGATTTTAAAAGTATAAGCTTTTATGTTATTGGAATTATTAATTTATTAAGTATGGATTTAATTAATTGAACTTAATGATGAGAAGAAACAAAAATAATAACTTAAATATATGATTCAATGAACATGAATGCAAGTTAATAACTTAAATATTGGATTTAATGAGTGAGAATTGAATGCTTGAATATCTTAAAATTACCTCTTTTCAACTTATTTAATATCAATAACTGATTACCCTATTTGCCCTCATTTTTTATCAATAAATTTAAATATAGAGGGGTAAATTTTGTTCTCAAAAAATTATAGAAATATTCTTAAGGCCATTCGTGCTTTTTGTAGTCTAGATTTTCCCTTTTTATATTATAATTAATAATTAAAATTTTAATATAAACTAAACAATATATTAATATGTAATGGATTGCAACATATAATAATTGATGATGATAAAGCATTAAAATATATTACAAAATTTTTTAGAATGAAAGTTAAACATTAGTCAATGATTATCAATAATATTATTGCAAGATGTCTACATGTCCAACGTCCACATATGTTGAATGTAATGGACTTCTTCATTAAAACTATCAAAGCATTCATTTTTTATGTTTGTGTCTTGATTATAATCATTTGAACACATATTTAGTGTTATTTTTTGGATTTATCAATTTGCATAAATTATATTATTTCTTTTTTTACAATATTTATGTGTATCCAAAGTATATCTTAATATATTTCTTAAAATTTCATTTCTGATACATACTCAATGTGATATTTTTAGTATCAAGAATACCAATACTTTGAAGCATGGTTTTGAAAACCATACCAGATTGAACAATCGGGCCGGTTGACCCAGAAACCATATCCAGGTAACCAATACTTTTCTCCTTTTTTTTTTGAATTTTCTATTATTTTATTCCATGACATTTTTTAAACAACCAATGAGATGCTCTCCTTCCCCATAAAAAATTATCTAAAATCTCTCTTATCCACACCTTCCCAATAACCTAAATGATATCATCTCCTAAAATTTCTCCTAGTATCCCCCACTCTTTCCTAAATTATCTCTAATTCCTATTTATCTCCTAAATTATCTCTAATTCCTATTTATCTCCTAAATTATCTCTAATTCCTATTTATCCTCTCCCACACTTTTTATATATATCTAGCTAGAGAAAATTTGAATTAAAAGATTTTAAAATTATTTAAATATTCTAACAAAATTATATAATAACTTTAAAATATTTATTAAAAATTCAAAAAATATATATAATAGATTTAATAATACTCATATTATTAATAATTTTATATTTTTACAAATTTCATCATGAAATTATGTACTAACAGTATAAATTATGGTTTTTTAGATTATTCAATTTAAATGTTATTCAAATAATAAAAATTTAACATTAAAAATAAAATATTATTTAAATAGTTCACTAATTAAATATTTTAAATAATAAAAAAATTTAAAATATCTAAATAATTATTTTATTATTATGTAATAACTTTAAAATAAATAAAATTCAAGTAATGAAAAATTTTAAATATTTTATTTATTAATTAAACATCTAAAAAACTAAATATTTTAACTAACAAAATATTTAACATACCTAGATTTTAAATAGTTAAAATAATGAAATTATGTAATAAATTTAAAAGAGTTCTTAAAACTATAAAAATAATTATAACATAATATTCAAATTAATGATAAGTTAATATTTTACAAATTAATAACGAAATTAAGTAATAATAGTATAAACTATAATTTTATGGATTATTAAATTCAATAAATAATTAATATTTTAAAATTTAAATAATGATATTATTTAAATAACTATAATAAGATTTTAAATAAATCATTTCAACTATATCAATTAATAATTATAGATTATAACTTTAAAAAATAATATTTATTAATAATTGTTTTAAAATCTTAATCTATATTTATTATATATACTAAAGTTAGTATTTATTGTATTTTAAGTAATCATTTATTGAATATATTTTCAATAATTATTGGAGATTAAACTACTATTATTTAACTTTTTAAGTTTAATTTATTGTACTCATTGTATTTATTGTATTTTTGTTATAGTTTATTGATTAATATTTATTAGATGTTAAACTATCATTTGAGATTACACTATTTATTGACTAATTTAGTATATTTTTAAGTATTTATTGTATTTGTGTAATTGTTGTATTCATTGTATTATTATTATTATTGGATTTCATTATCAAAATATTGTCAATAATTGTACATTTTTGCTATAAATTTTCAATAATTATTAGAGATTAAATTATTGTTATTTATTAGATATTAGACTATTAATTTAGCAAAAATTAGGAGTGTTCACAGGTTCATTCAGTTCAGTTGTAGATTGTTTGGCTAATCAAATCAACCTGATCAGGTTGGGGATTTGGTCAATTGAAACCGAATGACCATTAGTTAATTGGCCAACTCGGGTTGTATCAGTTTGAGTCAATTTTGGTTTGGTCGATCGGTTCAAAAGATTTAAGCTTAAAAATTAAATTTAAATTTAAAAAATTATAATGTCATTATTAAAAAATAAATTTATGATATAAAATATTTTAAACTAAGAAATATGAAAATTTCCCAATTTTCTATATTAAAAATATAAAATATTAAAATATAAGGGAAAATCTATGATTCAGGAAAGATATGGTATCAAAAAAGTTTTGACCAATCAAAATCCACCCATGAATTTTGATACATTACACCTGATTGGCTATCATGTTTTGGATACCAATTGACTGGTCAAAAATTTTTCAAATATCATATCTTTCCCATATCATAATTGAACCCAAAATATAAATAATTATTAATTATTTAAAAGTTAAAAATATAAAACAATTATATACTCTTATGTGTTTCTATTATTTAGCTTTTTCTTAAAAAATCTCGTGCATCGCACGACTCCTAGCTAGTTTCACCCTAAAACCGTTCTTGGGCGAAAAACTATTGACTTGGTCAATGACCCACTAACCTAGGCAGTCAAACCATCAACCCAAACAACATTTTTTGGTGTTTTCTATATTAATTATTTTTTTAATCAATTTTTTAAATCAGAACGTACCACCCATATGAACCAGATGGTCGAACTGCTGACCCAATTTACCAGTGGCCAAAGCAGTTCCGGTTCAGATTGGTTTTTAAAACATGCTTACTTTTAACCCTCATGTCCCATTACTGCAAACTCCTTTAGCAGAGCCGTATGAAATACTTCACTAATAGTTTCCTCATGAAATTCCTGAACATCATAATGATCGATATTCATGAAATTGTGTATATAATATATATAACAAAATCTAATATATATAGTAACAACCACAGAAAGAAACTCCGACCTTATAATGGTCATAGTTAGACTAAAAACCAGAAATATCACAACATCAAGAATATTTCTAACTCAATACTACTGCTACTGCTACAATGTCAGGCACTAAAATAACGTTAATCTCATATGTTTTAGTGATTACTGCCTCCCTCTCTTCAAGCTGCAAGAAGGACACTTGTATTGTTTTATGTTCTCAGCTTTGGCAGGTGTTATTTTCACACATTTTCCATGGAACCACCTCTCACAGATGTCACAGCCAATCCAGAACTCATCAGAATTATAATTACCCCCGCAACTTCCACATAGGGTTTCACTGTGTTCGTCATCCTCCTCCCCATAACTCTCATCAGCCAATTTTGAGTTGCTTTTCACCTGCCCATCACTTGACCTCTGCTAGATAGAAAAAACATCAGGTTTGAATCTTGAATTCAGATACTTGAAGAAAAGATAACAGTGTAACAAAACAGTATAATTCATGTTTGATCCAACCCACTTTTGTGCTGAGCCTGGATTTGCTTCCACTATCAGCACTGGGCTTGTCTTTAACAGGCTTCCTTTCTGCTACGACTTCAAAAACTGTTGGCAGATCATTAATCAGACTAAATAGGCGCTTCCTGTCAAGCAAAAGACATTTCTTACTGAACAAATGTAAGAAGGATCACAAGGGTGAGGAGATAGACCCATCTAAAGCACAAATACCTGTGGCATCATGAATACAGACATAGATATGAGGTCTTCCTCTGCCATACACATAGCAGGCATCAAGAAAGTGGGTGAATTGTGCCAAAAAAAAAATTGACCATATTGGGCATTCCCAACCATAAGCTATGGATTACTTTGGGCCATCAGGAGTATCACAAAAGCACCGAAACATAGAAAATGTCCAGAGTCAAAAGTTGGGCATGTTTAACCAAGAACCACCAATGTGATCCAAACATACCAGGGAATGTTCCAGATTTACACAGCAAGAAGGATGGCACTACTTCCATCTTTCCAAACAGGAATTTCCTTGTACAGCATGAGCCTACATGCATGAACTGAAGTGCAATTACAAACACTTTATACATCATAATCATCAATGACAGGATTCCCCGCAAGCAAAAACTCTGCATACACTCTTCAAAGCATGGGATTCCAGCCGCACATTGGGAACATCCCCCCATGAATTTAACATACATATACAGAAGATATTCCTAATGTGTAGTTGGATGCTATGTGAACAGAGTTTTGCTTGCAGGAAATCCGGGCTCTAATCATCATCATCATCATCATCTAATCCTTCTTTTAACTGTATGGGGTTAGGCTACATGAATCCTATTCCACCTTTCCACTCTATTCAGTGTCATATCCATTGAATTACATTTTACACAAAAACAAGAAAAGGTTTAAAAAGAACAGACGTAAATGTATAGATTTTCTTTTCAGAAAAGTATGGACAGAACAATGCAGATTTCTGAATTCCATTGCAGACTTATAAACATTCAAAATTCAAAAACCCCCACTCCATACACCAATGCCCACCCGTGAATTGGCATCAGTTCCGAGCTGGCACCTACCCCAACTGTACTTTGGGCCTAAAAATTCTGACCCTGGGCTGAACCGTCACTCTCCCTTTTCTTTTTGATAACCCAAAACTTTCCAAATAAAAGGGCAGTCACCATAGTTACCATTGAACTAGCGAAAAAGAAAAGCCTATCCTGGTCCACTGACATGGTGTGGGGGCTCAGATGGCTCCCTTTTTACTTCTACTAGCAAGTAGCAAGTATACCCATGCAATCATAGAGTTGAATAGAAATTTGGTTATATTTCAGTTGGCAAAGTTGGGTGGGGAGGCCAACCATAGGAGGAGCAAATAAACATGGACGAGGGCCAACCATCCATTGAGGTGAGAGGACTCTTGGCCTCCATCTTTTCTCTATATAATATAGATATAGATGGACAATATCTACTACATACATTCAAGCATTAATTACTTCATTATATTGCTTATCTGTAATTAATTTTCTAAAAAAATTGTCATTTTTAGATTTAGCTCAATTTTCTTGCTGCATCAATGTGCACCACCATTCAAGTCCAATAGCCCCAAGTACCAAAAAGATTGCAATTTAGAATTGACAGGTTCAAAAGATAAAGATAAATTAGTTTCACAACCACTTGCCCAATATGGTGCTTTGAAGAGTATTTAGAAAAGGATCCTAAACTAATCTATACTACTTATAAAAGTGTGAATGATGAGGTATTGGCTTTTGCAATTTTTCTTCACTAAAATACCCTTCCTCTTGAATTTAGTTCATCTCCATTGAATGGGCAAAAAATGTAATTAAAACAATACCATTAAGTACATTCAATTACCTCTCATTAAGTCTCACATTTAAGTCATTAAATAAATCACATTCTCACTCATTGAATCCGACATTTATACTTTTGTTTATCATCATTAAATTCCACTAATAAATCCATACACAATAAGTATTAAGAATGAAATTTTATATTTTTAAAATAAACATAGAAATGAAATCATATTTTTCATCTAGGTGGTGGGTAAGTAGTTCAACCATTTGGGTCAAATGGATAATTTCATGATGTTATAAATAAATAATACAAATTTAGAAATATAAAAAATACTTTTGTTTGTCATGATTAAATTCCACTGATAAATCCATACACAATAGTTATTAATAGAATGAAATTTTATATTTTTAAAATAAAGCTAGAAATGAAATCATATGTTCCATCTAGGTGGTGGGTAAGTACTTTAACCATTTGGGTAAAATGGATAGTTTCATGATGTCATAAATAAATAATACAAATTTATAAATAGAAAAAAATACAAAAAATATAGAAAAAAAAGAAATTTTGAAAAAAAAATTGGACATGTTTCTATTATTATGTATTTGTCATATTAAAAAATAAGTATGATAAAATAAACATAATTTTATTAATGATGGACATCAAATATACAACTTAAAACCGATGGGAAATTAAACCATCTTCTTATCTAGGGGTGGGTTAGTGGTTCAACCTTTCAGGTCAAATAGGCTAACCCATGATGTATAATTAAAAATATTTTTTTAAATAGAATAGTACAAAAAAAAATACAAAACAATTTTAGGCACATCTATAATATTATATACTAATAGTATAAACAAAAATAAGTATGATAAACAATAATTACTTTATCAATGATATAAATGAAATGCAAAATTTAAAACCAGTTTGAAAATGAAACCATTTCCATATCTAAATGATAGGTAGATCAATGATCTAACATTCTAGGTCAAATGGGTCAATCTATGATGTCATAACTAAGTAACGAATATTAAATATATACATACATACATACATACATACATATATAAACTCAAAGAAAAATATAAGCTTTGTATAAAACATTTTGATACAGTTCTATTGTTATATATTCACCATATTAAACAACAATAAATGTGAAAATAAGAATTACTTTTATCGATGATGAAAATGAAATACATGATTTAAAATCAACCGAAAAAGCAAAATGGTTTTCCATCCAAGTGGTGGGTTAGTGATTAAACTATCCATGTCAAATAGATCAACACATAATGTTATTATTAAATAATAAAATACACAAAATTCTAGAAAATGTAGAAATGTGTCGATAATTTCGAGTACATTCTATAATATTATATATTCATCATATAAAAAAATGTGATTAATGAGAATTATTTTCATTAACGATAGAAATGGGATAAAAAATAAAGAGCATTAATGTCTAACACATGACCCTACTAACCATGTCAAATGGTTCAATAATTTATTTAGCTAGGTCATCGTGGGCAAGTGGTTTGGTAGGGATGCGAACAAATCAGATCAGATTGGAATAAGGGTATATTCAAATCTGTTCTGATCCAAAGATTCAACTGGATCTCATAAATACTAATTCAAATCTAAATCTGATCACGATGTCGGATATTTGAATGTGACACGAACCGATTTAATTTTGAAAAAATAATAATAATAAATTATTAAAAGAAAAAGAAAATATAACAATTGAAATAAACAAAAAAATATATAAGTAATTTTTCAACTATTTCCATCATATAAAAAATTTACAAAGTGCAATATAAATAACATATATATAAATAAATAATAAATAACACATATTATATATAAATAATATATATAAATACCATATATACTAATTGATTTGACCATAGTATTAAAAACCAATGTTCAAACAATATATTGGAATTGCATTTCCTATTGGTAAATAAGTAATTTTTATTATCTCATTAATTAAATAATAAAAAATAAAAATATAGAATTTTTTATAAATGTTATAAAAATTTGAACATACATTAATATTATATATTCTTCATATTTCACAAAAATATGTTTGAAAAAATGAGAATTATTGTTAGTAAAAATAGAAATGTCTAAAATACAATGAAAAAAAATTAATTAATGTCTTAATCATAGTCCATTTTTCCTAGTTAAATAGGTTAACGATTCTACCAATAAGGTCATTTGGTTGCTGATTATCATCATCATCATTTGATACTACCCCATGCAAAAATAAATGTGAAAATAAGAATTACTTTTATTGATGGTGAAAATAGAATACATGATTTAAAATCAACTGAAAAAGAAAAAATGTTTTTTCCATCCAAGTGGTGGGTTAGTTGTTCAACTATCCATGTCAAATGGATCAACACATGGTGTTATTGTTAAATAATAAAATACATAAAATTCTAGAAAATGTAGAAATTTGTAGATAATTTTGGGTACATTCTATAATATTATACATTTATCATATAAAAAAGTGTGATTAATGAGAATTATTTTCATTAATGATAGAAATGGGATAAAAAATAAAGAGCATTAATGTATAACACATGACCCTACTAACCATGTCAAATGGTTCAATGATTTAATTAGCTAGGCCATTGTAGGCAAGTGGTTTGGTAGGGATGCAAACAGATCGGATTGGATTTGAATCAAGGTATATTTGAATTCGATTCGATCCGAAGATTTGATTATATATCATAAATATTGCTTCAAATCTGGATCTGACCAAGATGTTGCATATCTGAATCTGATACAATCCGATTTAATTTAAAAAATAATAAATTATTAAAAGAAAATATAATAGTTGAAAAAAGAAAAACAAAAAATATTAGTATTTTTTCAACTATTTTCATCATATAAGTTTACAAAAATGCAATATAAATAACATATTTATAAATAAATAATAAATAATATATATTATATATAAATAATTGATTTGACCACAATATTAAAAACCAATATTCAAACAATATATTGGAATTGCATTTCCTCTTGGTAAATAAGTAATTTTTATTTCTCATAAATTAAGTAATAAAAATAAAAATATGGAATTTTTATAAATTTTATACAAAAATTTGAACATGCATTAATATTATATATTCTTCATATTAAACAAAAATATGTTTGAAAAATAAGAATTATTGTTAGTAAAGATACAAAATTACAAATGGCTAAAATACAAAGAAAAAAAAATGAATTAATGTCTTAATCATAGTTCATTTTTCTGGTTAAATAGGTTAATGGTTCAATCAGTAAGGTCATTTGGTTGCTTACTATTATCATCATTATC